TGGACCTCACTGGTGGTGGTTTCCCATTGACACTGGCATTCAAAGAGCAGTCATTGATAAAGTTTTAATCTTTTACATGTATTTGCCTGAATTTTTTTCTTTTAGTTTTTCTTTTTTTTCTTTTTATTTTTTTTCTTGTGGCTAGTATTAGTCAAAATGTGTTGTGCTAGCCCAAAAATGTTACATAAATCTAAAAATATTGTATCAAACCTGTTACTTATTAATAAAACTATTCATTTTATAGAAGTCAAATTAAATAAGATAACTTTTTTTGTAAGACCATGTTGATTGACACTGTTTTTGCTGTTAATGCCTCAGTACTCTGAGCCCTCTGTTGTTTTTGATAAACCTTTACTGAGTTGAGACCACAGTACTGATCTCTTTAATGTTTTGATATTTTTTTTTCTGTTCTTTCCAGCCAATTTGAACTCTCTCAATATCCCAAGACTTCCTGGAATTAAACACTGCTGCAAACATTCTTTGAATAACTCCCACAAGAAAAAAAAAAGTTCAATCACCTCCATAATATTTTAAGATTGTTAACTTATAAATGTTAAATAACATCAGCTTGATAGATTTTGTTGAATGATCATATGCCATTCTATAGAATATTTGTTAATATACCACCATATTCTTATTTTTAGGTAATATGCATATATGCCTTCTTTTTAGTTTTCTTTGCTTACTTCAAAGCTGTGTCTCTGCTCTGACCTCTCTGGCGTTTATTCACGTTCTCTGCTCTGAATCCCCCTGCCCTCTTCCAACCTCTTGTCTCTTTCACTCATAGTTGCCTTGTGGTTTGGGTTTTATTGGGGTTGTTTTGATTTGGTTTTAATAGGTCAGATTTTTTTTGTCCCCATGATATTGTTTTGAGGGTTTCTAGTAAAAAGTTCTTAAATAGTTAAGAAATTTAAACAGAGGATGTGGGCAACTATTGTCTTAGTTGATTTGACTCAATTTCCAGCTTCTTGAAGTTGTCCTTTTAAAGTGCAAATCCCTATGTATTAAGCTGACTATTTCTTATTAAAATGTTGATGAATCAGTTGTGTTATTTTTCTTTTGCAATCAGTTTACAATATCTACTACTTAACAACTGCCTTGGCTAATACTGACTTAATTTCTTGAGATCTAGCTCACAAATTGATGTTCACAGATAAAATTGATACTCACAGATGAGGGCTGAAGAGTTGATACCTATGTTTGTTGGGTTTTATTTTCCCCTTTCAGGGCCCTTGCTGTGTTTGGTTTGGTTTTTTTTTTTTTTGGAGTTCTTTATCAATTTATGTAACATTAAAGATGGGTTGTAGCCTTTTTTTTTATTTACTACCCTCAAAATTATTTGAGGGTTAGTTAGTGATAGAAGCTTTACTGCTTTGAGTAGGTATGTGTGTGGGGCTGAATTCTGTGGCGAGTATTAAAGAGTATGTTTGAGCTGTGCTGTCGTGGGGAAAAAGGCATTGTTTGAAATGCTGGGCTCTGTGTCAGTGACAGTCCAGAAATGCATCCTGACCTCCTTCTGGAGATCTTGCCTTCCTGTTTTTTGAAGGGGAGAATGTGTCTCTGGCTAATCCACATTGCTAGAAACCAGCCAGTAGAGTCCTTTTGGGCTATCAACTTCTCTAATGGTGTTATCTCAAGGGGTCTGGTGGCTATTTTAATCATTACAAGTGCTCTCAGTTTTAAGGCAAAAGATGATATGAGGATCTAACTGAATTTATTTTGCAAAGCTTGAAGTTAAACTGTTGTATTGAACTGTTGTCTTAAATTGTTAACCAACAAATTATAATTACAGTTTAAATTTATGATGTAAAATAGTTGGTTACATAAGGAAAATGCCAGAAAAGATGAAAATAAGACCATTTAGCTGTGGAGACAAAACTACTAAGTTTGCCCATGCTGAAAACTGCAGAGTCAACTGCTGTGAGTTTGTTTGGGTTTGGTTTTTTTTTTTAATTTCTGTGCTTGTTAATCTTAGGATAAAAATAGGAGATTTATATTCTGATTTTTGTCAGAGGGCATTTTAGAGAATATTGTTTCTCAAGTATTGCTTTACTCTTAGAGGTAGCAGTTGTGAAACAGTAATAAGTGTGTAACAATCTTGGCATTTAAAAAGTTATTCCACCCTTGCTTCAGGAATAAGGGTTTTCTTTGTTCTTTCTGGGATTTTTTGTTTGTTTCTAATTCTTCACTTACTGGAGAGCCTTCTGAGATAAAGATGTTTTATGCTGTGTAAATGTTGAATTTTTTTAAAAAAATAAAACTTTCTTTTCTAGACACCCAAAAACATTTTCCTTGTATAGGTCACCATTAAAATTGTAAGGGTTAAATGTGTGGCTGCTTTGATTGTGAGGGACGTATCTAAGAGAAAGCTCTAAAATCCTGGGTTCTTTGTCCCTTTTCCTCTCTTCTAATTCTGTTATTCCGGCAACTTTTCCACTGGCCCTGCTCTTCAGCTGCTGGGAACTCTCAGACACTGAAATACAGATGATGAAAATATAGAAAGCGGAATTTAGCGGAGGCAGCCATGTTAATTTCTGTTCCATTTGAAATGCAGGAAAATATCATCTGCCAAATGGAAAAGGACAATCGGTGGGAAAAGAAATGTTCTTTTCGAGCTTCTAAGAGCAGTGACAATGGAGAGAAAAAATACTATAAAAAGTAGGCAGCTCCTTTTTCAAGATTTTTGTTTTTAATGTATTATGCATGATTAACTGTACACAGTTGCTCTTTTGGAGTCCTGAATGACTGAATATTACATGGCAGGGCTTAGACTGTTTTTACTGCATTGCACTCTGCATTGAGGGGGGGGGGAATAGGGCTTAGCTTCATGGCAGTTTTGCCAGTCTTTAGTATAATTTTTGAATACATTCATACTTCCCTTATTTGCCTTTTTTAATGTCAAGCGTTGCACATAAGATGTTCTGCTGTTGCTATGCAACTGCTAAATCCAATATTTAATATTAATAAAAACCCGAGTGGCATTAGCATCCTTGAGAACAGTGGGCTAGCAAACTATGATTGTACAATATCCAAGCTGTAAAACTTGGCAGGGACTTCAGCGTGCAACTGCATTCACGGCAAACTGGGGGGCATGAGTCATTGGCAGTTGCTATTTTAAGAGCGGTGAGTTTGAGTAAAATTTCTGAGCTCTTCTGATTTTTATTTATATATAGAGAGAGAGAATATATTCCTTTTAAACAAAAAGACAATGAGATTGGTTAGCTCATTTCCTTACATTTCAGACACAAATTCTGAGGAGTCACTACCCATAAAAGAGTCAGTGTTATAAGCCTATGGGTCAATACCCTGATTTTCCTATTTTTCTTCTAGGTCAGGTTGGTCGGCCCTTTCCCACTGTTCCTGCCACTTCCTGAAGCCTGAATTGGCTTTTTTTGGAGGCAGTGCTACTTCTCTGCCTGACAAGGTGCTGTTCAATGGGATATTTTTCCAGTTTCTCCTCTTCCACCTTGTTTTCTGATCTCTCCCCTATTTCTCTTTACTCTTGACTGTTGTTTCACCGTCACTCTTTCACCTTTTTTGGGGATTTTTTTGTTGTTGTTCTCCACATGGTGCTTTCTGAGATTAGATTTTTAGCATCAGCCTGTGCTAAGCATTAGGTCAAGGCTGGTGCTGTGCCCTGGCAATGCTTTGGCCATTTAAGTTGTTTTTGCAGCCATTGCAAGTTCTGTAAGGTCCTGCATCTGATATCTAAAGATGTTAGTGCACTAGTGCTCCTGCTGACACCCAAAGGGCTGTGACGCTGCTTATCTTATGGACAGCAGTCTTCAAGAGGAAAGGACAACTTTGATGTTAGATCTGTGTATAGTCAGAATTATTTTAGAATTACTGTTCTTTTGGAATTTCATTCCTAGCACACGATCACCTAGATTTTGATTGGTTTCTTAAAAGGGCTATTTCGGGTAGTTTATCTGTCCCCAATTCACCCATGCAAGTTTCTGTAAATTTATAAATGTATTTTTGTGTCTTAAATTGTTTTGGTTTTTTTTTTTTCATTTCTTCTTCTGCCTCTCAAAGACTCAGGCAAGTAGGAGAAGCTGCCCCTAGCTACATGCAAACTGTTACTAAACCTACAAAGCAAAAGTATTAATGGGGAGGGGGGGAAATGCAGTAAGCTGTAGTCTTGAGTTTTATGGACATATTGGGAATACACTTTTATAAGCAGGTGAAATTTGTCTGTCCCCCTCAAAGTAGTCTTTGTGCTTCTCATATTCACTCTGCTAACCTGGCTTCTCACACTGTTGGGTAGTTAATAGCTCTGTAGATTTTACTGCCAGCAGGGGTTTAGTGTAATATTGATTTAACATTTTCAAATAATGGCAGTAATTTCAGTAAAGGTTTTTCCTCTTTTGGAATAAACTAAAATTGGTTAGATTTCTTTTAAGTGAGGCGTAAATCATGGCCTTGAAGTAAATCAGACTGTGTATCTTAGATGAGGATCTGTGATTGGAATTTGGTTCTTTAGTGGCATGGCACTGCTGAATCCCTTTCCTCTGAATTTTCTCTCCTCAAACCTGTAACTCTTCAAGAAATGCTGGTTCTAATCTTTTCTGAAATTCAGAAAATTAACTGAATGCCACTCAGACAGAAGAATGTATTTTTTTAATTGAGAAAATTTACCTTATTTCAGTTTGGAGGCTTAAACGAGAGATTTTTTTCATATAAAAACTACCTGCTCATGTTGTAGAACCTACAACTTCCTGTTTTCTTTTTGAACTTGTTTATTTCAATGTGGTAATGTTCTTTGTTTTTAACCTGGCCATTTACAAAAGTGCAGGAGTTGATGGACTCTAGATCGTGCTGCGATTTGTCGGTAGTTCACTCGTTGCAATTGACCCATGCATCTTGTAATACTTAGAGAAAACACGTTGAGCTCTGTTCTTGGAACAGATAAATATAGAACTGCTGTATTGTGAATATTCTTGTAGTGACGTACTTAATCTAGAAAGCTAACAATTCTTTTATTTGCTTTTAGGGTTTGAAAGTATTCTAGAAGGCCTGTTTGGACCTGGATTATTAAAAGATCTCAGTTTGTTTAAAGGTATTCAATCTCTATGTTTGTATCTTGTTCTGCATTTCTAATGACAGAAGCAACCCCAGCTCTGCCTCTAGAAAATGTGTGTTACCGTGGTGATTTGTGCTTTTTTTCCCCCTCCCCCAGGCAGTGCTCACAGTTAGTTTCATATTGGCTAAAATTACTAATGAGTGTGCGTTCATCTTTATGTAGCTGGGAGTGTATTTGGCAGTGCTCAGAAAAACAGATTTGTTGTGCATAGATAAAATGTGTACAGTTTGGTAAGCTGGGGATTTAGAAAAGATGGCCGAAATGCAGCCTGCATCCTCAGAATGCAGGCAAGAATGTTGTGAAACAGGTATTTAATTTGGCATTTCTCTTTTGGCTCCAGTTGTGTCACGGTTTATGAATATGAAGTAATTTGCTATTCCTCTGATTTACAGACTGTGAGCCTGAAGGTGTTTCTGATTGGTCTTTTGATGAAAATTGTCTTTTCTGCTGCCTGAGAAGAGAAAAAGTGAAGGTAACAATGCAGATGTGTGAAGCTAGTAGTTGTAGGGGAGGGACAAAGGGAGGGAGTTTGCTGCTCCAAGTTAACAGAACATAGAAAATCTGCAACCTCCTACCCGTTTCCCCTCCCTCAGAAAAAGGCTTTCTGAATTAAAATAATACAAGCTAATGAAGACTTGCTGCTTCTCTGCAACTTTTTCTTTGTAGGATGTGATGCAGATTTTTCTGTGTAGTGGCTCTTCCTGTTTGGTGGTTTTTTTTGTTTGTTTGTTTGGGGGGTTTTTTTGAGTTCTTTGTAAGGGGTCTTGTTGGGATCATGTAACCCTTCCCAGTGGAGCCAGACTTTGGCTTGTGCATGTTTCCTACAGCCAGACTCTGGGCTTATCTTCAGTATGGAAATGTGGTGCATTTTAACAACCTGGAGTCTTGTTCCCTATCTTGGAATCTCTTTCCCTGTGGGCCGTATCTTTTTATTAAAGGGCTTATATGGATGGTAGATTTTTGCACTTTGCTTCTTTATAACAAAGCCAGAGCCTAAACACGGACAAGTCACTTTGCCAACGTAATAAACTTGTGGTTTGTTTTCTTAATGAGATTATAGCTCTATATGAAACAAAGGCTGCCACGCTATACCAGGGTGCTGCTCGGCCCCTGTGTTGGAATGATGATTGTTCTATAGCATAGGAAGGAAGGCTCATCTGTTTTGGCAAGACTTCACTTGTTGGAACTCTTAACTACAACTTCTTCCTGCACAGTGTAAAACAACATGCAGAGTGGATCTCTCTCAACTTAGAAATGAAACAAAAGCACCCTTCCCTCTGCGGCAGCTCACGTATGGCTGCTTGTTTGTAAAGGAAGTACCTTGTTTACACTGATACTTGCCATGTTGCCAGTTTATGCTTGTTTTTGTATTCCAGTTTCTGTTAAGGTGTGGGGAGGAGGGGTAGGAATGCTTGCAGTTAGAATACATGTGAGGTGTAATTCCTTCCTTGAGACTGGCAGCAGGTAAGCAGTATGTAAGGAGTTCTGTCTTGTTTGACTTAGGTCATCTCATAAAAAGACAAAATTCAACTAGTAGCACAGTTCTGGTTAAGCCATTGAACTGATTCAGGAATTAATTCTGTGGTGTGGTCAGAGATTGATCATAGTCTGAGAGTATCTAGCATCTTCACAAAGATGGTTTACATCTCAATTGTCCTAACAGGCCCCCAGTAACTAAAATACAGCTCTGGAAAATCAGTGATTGTTACATGAATCATAGAATGGTCAGAGTTGGAAGGGACCATAAAGATCATCCCGTTCCAACCCCCCTTCCCTGGACAGGGACACCTCCCACCAGACCAGGGTGCTCCAAGCCCCATCCAGCCTGGCCTTGAACCCCTCCAGGGATGGGGCAGCCACAGCTTCTCTGGGCAACCTCTTCCAGGCTCTCACCACCCTCACAGCAAAGAATTTCTTCCTAGTATCTTAACCTAAATCTCTCCTCTTTCAATTCAAAACCATTACTCCTCGTCTATGGCTCCACTCCCTGATCTCTCCTGTAGCCCCTTCAGGTACTGGAAGGCCGTTATAAGGTCTCCCTGGAGCCTTCTCTTTTCCAGGCTGACCACCCCCAGCTCTCTCAGCCTGTCTTCACAGCAGAGGGGCTCCAGCCCTCGGAGCATCTTCATGGCCCTCTGCTGGACCCGTTCCAAGCGGTCCATGTCCTTCCTGTGCTGAGGACTCCAGAGCTGGACACAGCACTCCAGGTGGGGTCTCACCAGAGCAGAGTAGAGGGGTAGAATCACCTCCCATGATCTTCTGGCCACACTTAACAAGTGCAAAGACAAAAACTAAGAATGCAAATGTCCGCCATATAGTGTGCTGATTGGGCACGTTCATCTTGTCCTTTCCAAGCTTCTATACAGCCATTATTCAGAAGCTGACATATCATTATTTATATTTTCATGTCCTTTACTGGACTTTTCTTTCTAGTTGAGCATAGTAAAATGTAGCCCATGATTGTGAGTGTCACTGAAAAACTGGCAATGTGTTCCTTAAGCTGGTGGTAGGTGTCATTGATGTGAAGGTTCCTTGTGGTTTCCTCTTGTACTGTACGGTTACTTTTCAATGGGTGAAAGAAAAGATGCAGATGTGGTCACCCCTGATGTGTTCTGTGGTGTTTTGGCATCGGGGGTCTAAGGAGGTTTTAGGATTGTGTAGAGATTGCCACAGGATGCAGCAGGGCCATACAGCATCGCTAGGCAAAGGCACCAAGGGAAGGGGAAGGAGGCTATAAGCTCGGAGCAGGCTGGAGAGAAACAGGAGTTAAAGGCTGTGCTAGTGTCAGTCAGCCACTATGGCCTGGGTAGAATAATTTTTATAAATAAAACCCAAGCAATTTCTGTCCCTTTATGTTTCACTAGCCACAAATAGCCATTGCAAACCATTTTTCTTGGAGCTAATTGATAAAGAGGGGCAGCAAAGAGAGCTCTGGGCACACACTTGTTTGCTGTGTGGCCGGGGATCCCTGGCTGTCCGGGGCAGTGGGGAGGGAGGGTGAACCAGCCCATTCAAATCAGACTTGTGGCTTCTCTGTTAGTCCCACTGATTCTCCTCACACTTGGCACGGGGCTTCTTTGATGTGTGTAGGATTTATTATTTTTTGTTAGGATTATGGTGGTTTTGTGGTTTAGCTTTTTTTTTTTTCCTGCTCCCCAGCTTCTCTATCTGTTCTGTTGGGTTTTGGGAGGGGTTTTTTTTTTGGTCATTTTGTTGTTGTTTTGTTTTTGAGGGAAGAATATGGTTCCTTTTAGACCTAGTTGGTCATTTTGTTGTTGTTTTGTTTTTGAGTGAAGAATATGGTTCCTTGTATGGGTTCTTGTATGTCAATTAAGAGAGATGGTGAGATGGGAGTGCTTCCTTTCCTTTGTAGATACACCAGATTGCTGCACTGCTGGCCCTTGCTAACGTTATTAGTTTGTGACACAGAGTTTAATGACTCTTTAATGGGAGCCTTCAGAAAGTGTGGATTTAACAACATCATAGCTTGAATTAAAATATCAGGGCCTTAATTGGTACAAAACCTTGTAACTTCATTTGGTATTTAGCCAGACAGTCTTCAGCTGATGGACTGAACTAAATTAGAAATGGTACTAGTCTGTTGGAAATCTCTTCCATCCAACATCTGTACTGATATCTTTACCTCCTTTCTAGGGAGCTGCAGGCTCAGTCTTCTGCAACTGCTAAAACTTGGCTGTTCTTGTCCATAATATGGCAACAGTTGTGCTTTCTGTGCCACAGCCTCTATTCCACGCTTTTCCTTTTTTATTGTTGATGTGCATCCTCTTATCTTCTTTGGAAAAGAACTGGGCAGTTCCTGGGATGACTTGGGTTTGTTCTTGTACCCTGGTGAGGTACGGAGGTAGAAAGGGTGTGATTGATGTATCTGTGAGCAAGACAGCCACAAACCACGTATTATAAGAGTGTGGCTGTGGCTGGCCTTTTTTTCCAATGAGTACATCTCTACCAATACCTCCTTTTGGATTAGTGGAATAATTAATCAGTATACTTGATTTTTACCTTTGAGTGACATGTAGGTACCTGATGTGACAAGTTCAAAACCAATAAAAATCTTCAGGGTTTGGTTTTTTTTTTCTGGATTTCATTTGCCCTTGAGAATTCCTAGTTCAAAACCAATAAAAATCTTCAGGGTTTTTTTTTTTTTCTGGATTTCATTTGCCCTTAAGAATTCCCTGTGCCTTGAGAGTTGTGCTCAGGGAGTATTGAGTTCTGAACTACAGGATGAAAATTGGAAGCTGAAATGAGTTTATTGGCGGAGCTGTTTAAGGGAGAAAAAACCTGCTTGCTCTCCCACCCATTTCAGTGATGTTGGTTCTTGCTTTTACAAGATTCAATCAGATTCAATTACATGCATTCTTCAAAGGATGGAGAACCATCTGCTGAAGTATTCTGAAAAGATTAATTTATTTGTAGCAGTAGTTCTGCTTGCAAATTTTCAGAAACGGCATGGATTTTTTGGCAGTCAAAATACAAGACAGTTTTTGATAGAGAAATGGACTTAATTGTCTTCGTTTGAAAGGGATAATGAAATACAAGATAAAGCAGGGAGCTAAAACCTCCCAGACAATTTTTTTTCCCAAATCCAAACGGTTGTGTATGGTAATGTAGAGCTTTTAGAAACTAGATAATTATTTTTCTCCCTTCCATTGCAGAATACTCAATTGTTTCAGTGGTGTGATCAGAGAGAATGACTAGTTACCTAAGGAGCTGCTACCAGGTTATTATCACAGGTGTCTGTGCAGAAATACATGGGTACATAAATGTTACATGGGCATAAAATACAAAAAAAAAAAAGCAAGTTTAGCAGCTCTGCTGCCTGCTTATAGTGAGAGGAAGCAGATTGGGTTCTGTGGGACCAAACCCAGGGAATTCTCATTGGGATTGTCTGCAAATGTGGTAATTCTCAATTCCTTATGGGCTTTCTCCTTTGCAGGAAGATTTAAGAGTGTAGTTTGCAAGGTGGTTGGGTTTGGTTGTTTTGGATTTTTGCCTTTTTTTTTTTTAACTGAAGCTTTTCCTTCTAAAAGGCTGTGGTACATAGAAGACCCATCAATTCAGCTGAAATGAAGTCTACTTGCCTTATCTCTTTTTAATTATGGTTCTTAATTTTTCAGTGTGGCTTTATTTAATAACTGACAGAGCTATCATTACAGAAGAGATCTGTGGTTTCATGTAGAATATTTGTATCAAATGAGAGAGTTTCTACTGTCATTTGTTCATAGTTGGAGCTCAAGCCTAGTTTAAGATTTATTTTTTTTAAAAAAGATGCAGATAGATAAAGTCAGAAGAAAGCACCAGTAATAAGAGGGGAAATTGGAAACAGAATCCTTAAAGAGGATTCAGTTGAGTATATTGATTTGGAAAAGAAAGCACTATTGTCTAAAGCTACATAAAGCAATTCATATGTATTAAAAAAAAAAAGGGAGGGGGGGACACACAACTAATCTCATT